TGTACCTATTATTATTATTGAGTTTTATGTACGTAGTTGACGTAGAGACGTCTATCGTCAACTGCCCTTTATTTATTATTATTATTATTATCTGAGATATTGATTAATACAGATATTATACTCTACCTACCATTTACCAATTTGTACCATTTTATTATTGTTTTCCTGACCCCGCGAGTACGTCGTGTCAACTGCTTCGGTAAGAACACGAAGTGCGCCAACAATACTCAAAAGTCTTTTGTTGCCATAGTTACCAATATGCATCGGTTAATAATGTGATAGTTGATTTTCTGGTATTTTGTAAAAAAAAATTATAACTAACTATAATATTGTTAGAATTTTAGATACAGTGAATGCGTAGTATAATCAGGTTTAAAACCCAAAGATTAAGAATTATTGAAAAGTATGCTTTCTAATTCCACTGCAGTTAGAGTACTGTTTTAAAATAATTTTCATTCGGTTTTTGATTTCCTAATAATTGTTCACAATGTGGCTATAGTGAGTTTCGTGCACTTAAACTAATAACAAACATGCTCGTCACAACTGTAATATTACAAGCACATAATATATTTTATATTTCAGTCAAAATAATGATTTACTTCATCGCGATTTGATTTACCAAATTTGAATTAACTTTACTGTGTCCGACGACTATACGTGTTTGAATGATAATAATAACATAATGTTTAATACATGAACAAATTTTAGCCGAAGACGCGTGACTCTAATGGCTTTTTGAGGACTAATTACGATTTACAACACCTTATGTCAATCAGTCACCCGTATCATCTACGAGTATAATATATTATGTTAAACACCGCTTCCGTATAGTGTTTTCGGATAATATTATTATTATATAAACTTATATAGGTGCGCAGTGCTTAATACCTTTGGGGAATTTAACATGTTTTGGAACTTGATTTCGGAAATTATTTACGTATAAATAGGTTTTACGATGGGTTATCGATGATGAAAATCCCTTTGACCCGACCAAGTTTGCAATCTACCTTAAAACTTCATACCATCGTTCGGTCGAATGGTATATCGAAATCGTTTCACAGGACGATCCACAAAGTGAATTAAAAAGCTTAACGAGTACCTATCTCCGATCCGATCCGAACATAATAACAAATAGGTACCTCCGCAGGTATGAGACGTCCGCGGAGGAGGACAATATAATAATAATATATATTTTATGGTGCCCGCAAAGACGGTCGAAACGTTTGCTGCGATCCCGTCGACGTCTATATACGAACACTGTGTACAGCCATCGGATCTGTATGGCCATCGGGAATAATGTCAGTAGATCATAAATAGGTGATATTATGCGTATGCGGTCTGGGCAGACTGTTGGAGTGTCAAGACTTCAGTCGACACAAAACGACCCGGAATCTGTCAATGGACTGTATGTATGTATTTTTTTTTTTTTTTTTAAACGAAATCGTATATTGTCTTATACGCATATCAATATACGACTGCAGCCCATGTTGCAATAAAATACGCGGGGTACGATTATTATATTTTATTTCGAATGTTGTTTTTACGTGTCCGCAACGCGGATTCCTAGTACTCGTGCCAAATTGAATTATATACAATTATACAATTATTATTATTCGTGCCGTCTTAAATGTGATTTAGGATCGAGTTTATTCAATCAACAACACTATACCATCGTGTATTTTGCACACGAGCCAACCGAGTTGTTCATCGCGCGAACTTATATAGAGACGGTGTATTGTTTTAAACGTTAATCATTGTTAACGTCTGTAATTCATATCGACTATTACGACCATACACAACCAATCGTAACATTTCTCGTGTGTATCTCGAGTTTGCAGCGTGGTTTAATTAAAATAATTTATACCGCAACGGTTTGTTACCATCGACGAGATGTTTTAATGCTTACGCTGCCTTTAAAATATTAATATTATGTTGTCATAATGACGATAGTACGAACTACAGTGTTCGAGATCAGACTGATATTTCAGGTATTTAAGTACCTAACTCGTGTCGAAGTTTAAAATATTATTTTACAATGTCGCCGGGAAGATAAAACTCGTTATTTTTATACTAAATTAAATTAAATACTGAAAAATAATACTATATAATGCCATATTTTTTAAATTAACTGTAAAATACATTTAAATTGCAGATCCCACGAAGATCGTTTATGAGGGTTGAGTTATGCTATATATTACTGTAGTTTTTTGTAGTATTATTATTTGTATTATATCATTGTTGCAATGAAAATATGCAATAAAAAATATTAGTAAGGGAAGTCATCATTTAAAAAAAAAAAAATCTACCTTTTGTAATAATAAAAATAGTTATTGAAGGGAAAAGTAGAGTAATTATTTAGAGTACTGATAAGTATAATATAAATTTTAATTAGGGACAGTGGACAGTAATGTATAATTTTATCTTTTTAAATTTACCCTCGTTTAACGAAAAAATGTATTTCTTAAAAGTTGCCAACACAAAACAAATAACATAATATATTATGTATTGATATTTTAAATGTTTATTACGAATAAAAAGTTTTGCACTTTAAAACTCTGATATTAAAAACTGTTGTTATAAAAAAAATCATATTACTATTTTAAATATTAAAATTACAGTTTGAATAAGTATATTGGTTAAAAATGATTTTAATCAATCTGTTTTTTTTTCTTAGAAGTAAAAACTATAGTTTTTTGTTGTTGATCAGAATTTGCATTTTCTTATATCACCTTTTCCAGTAAAAAAAAAAATACAGAAGTAAAATTACTTTCAAACCATTCGTTCGACAGTTGTAAATAATGAAAAAAAAAACAAAGTTCGCCTGTATTTTACTACTCTCTGATTAAAAAAATAAACTTTTATGGTACCTACCTAATGTACACACATTTTGAGGTGTGAAAATATGGTTTACGTTTTTACAAATGAAACTCGTTTAGACAAAGAATATCAATCAACATTCGAAATTTATTGAATACATTTGATCGAACTTCAAGCGACAAGTTTTATACATTTATTATTTATATATGTAATTTTATGTAAATTATTTAAACTTTTGGATATATTTTATAAGGTATTGTATTTATTTATATTGCAAATATATTCAAGGCGAATTGGACAACGGTTAACTAAGGTACATATTGTTGGATTTCCTTAATAAATAAAATAACGAAATTAGGTCGACTCTAATTCGTTCGATATGAAATATATCCGAATTTGCAGAGTCCATTACGTTTATAAATGCTGTTAGTTATTTATTATTAAAGGTAAGTGATACTTGATAACGAATGTATGTACGGTTACTGTGAGAAACGTCCCTCGGAGAGGAAACACAGCGTACAGCACCGAATGTATACCGCAGTGGTACGCAAATTGCTATTATTTCGTCGTTGTTGGATTCATTCGATCGGCAAAAAAAGGATGATAAAAAAAAAAAGAAGGTAAGTAATAGGCTTACAGAATAAAAAAAAACTCTCGGTTTATCTGCAAATAAAAACGTCTAACGATTCTACTGCGACATTCGCAAGCCGCGAGACGGTATTGTCTTTATTTTGAACCCGAACACCGGCCGAGTTCGAGCATGACAAATATTTAATGCCAAACAGTATCCGGTAATAACATGGACGTGGTTTTAAGATTTTGCATTTGAACGAAAACAAAAACAAAGATACGCTGTGCACACTTGAGCCATCATCGTTATTAATAATTTACATAATGAAAACGAAATGCTGCCCGTTATTGGTAAACTCATCAGCGGTTGAGACGGCTGGACCGATTTGGCTAATTTAAAAAAAAAAAAAATGTTTGCAAAAGTCCTAATGAGGTCTATACGGAAAGAAAAACGAATAGTTAGTTCAATAAAAGTTATATCAATAGATTCCTTGACACTTGGAAGGTGTATAAACTTTATGTTATTTTTTTCAGCCGCTGTAGAAAGCTAAATGGTAGCTCATCACACATACATTTTGTTCAGCTCACGGATAGAAGAATATATTTTTTGTTCGTGTATAGGGTCGCCATCGGCTACATATAATATTATATATTTCTATTAAAGTTGGACGATACGTGCATAAAAATACCAATCCTTGACACTTTGGCATCTATGGCTTTTTAATCTTTTTAATACAATATAATAATGATGACATTAATAATTGTGATTGGTCGGATATTCACGTTATCCGCTGTTTTAATAAAGTACGTATTGTTCAAAGAGTTAGCCCCTGAGAATGTGTTAACCGTACTGTTATATAGATGCAAAATGTATTACAACTGTAATTCAAACATGGGCGAAGTACCGGTGTATGGGATTAAAGTGGCAATTTGTTAAAAAAAATTATGCATGTTTCTACATGGAAGGATAATGACAATACATTTATATAAAATTTAAAAAAATACTTGAAATAAATAAATAAACAAGTACATTTTTTTGTAATAATTATCAATTTATGCATAATAGTAAGTAGGTACTCAGTTTTAAAATAATAATATGCTTATCTTTTTTTTTACAAAATCGAATATAATCAATAGAGGAGGTATTGACTATCCGAACTAGCTTTTATTTATTTTCAATAGGATTTTAACCGTTATTATTATTATGTTTTCAAATAAATTATTAATGCTTAATCCCTTTGTACGAAATTATTTCAGTTTGCGAGATAACCGACAGAAATAGTTTCAGCTTAATATATTACGTTTTAACTTTTTTATTCAGATTTTCAGCAATATAGGTGGCCAGCAAAAATAGAAAATACCTAGAAATCGCCTAGAAATACAGTAAAAATAATAATGTAGTATGCAGACGTGCTTTGCTGTACTCATTTTACGAGTAGTTTTATCGTGCATTTTGATGCAGTACGTCTTGCGCACACTTTAAGTTTGGTATTATTCCGCTGACAAGGAACCACGCCGACGGGACACGTGATGTAACGTAATTATACGAGAAAAAAACCAAAACAAAACTATCGAGCACGCGTACATATGCTGTTATCCGGATCATCACTTACCGATTTGTCGTTCAAGTTTTCCGCCCGGCAGTGGAGAAACGCGCTCTGTCCGATCGTGGTCGTGATGTTCCGAGGCACGTAGTAATCAAAAAACGGGTACAGCTGGTCGGTACCATTTCCGGGGGCGGAAGACGTGCGGTCGGCCTGCCGCGCGACCGACGGCGGCGTCGGAGACGGTGGCGGCTGCGGTCTCTGCGTGTACGTCGCCAGTTTGCCTGTAAAAAGACACACACACACACACACACACGTGGTTAGTGGAGAACAGGTAGTCGCGGTCGTATGCGTCGGGGACGGGCGACTCGAGGGGTTACTCGATTAGCCGATTTTTAGAAAATCAAAACCCGGCCGGCCGGAGCGTAGAAAGCAAAAAATGAGGTCGTTCAAAACACATACATTTTAATCGTCATTCATTTCGTGTACAATACAAACGGGGTTGTTAAAAATAATTCAATATTAAAATATATAAATAGTTATTTGTTTAGTGTGAGTTTTGAGCGCGTGCGGCTCCTGCAATGACGTCGCGCGGCGAAATCGACTTCTATTTCGGACGAAGAAACACGAAATGGGCGACGACTTGATGTTTCGTCTGTATAAGTCGATCATACTATGTTTTGATTCAATATGTTTCATGTTTGAAAATGTACATTCACAAATGTAAGTAGTCCGGAACATGGACAACATTTTCGACGCGAGCTCTCGTATCGCCGGATATTTTAGAATAGTTAATTTTTGCCAAATGCTTGTGTCAACCTCTTTTGTAGACAACAATGATGGATCTGTTTGCGACTCACATGATCCTATAATATTGAAGTTCAGCGTCTGGCTTTTCGATTTCGACCGCCGTTGGATTATCGAACAAATTCGTTTGAGGGCGCACGAGTTCGACTATACAGAGTATAGACGATAAACTTTAATACAATCGTACGATACAATTTGAAAATGTAGCGCGGGCCGCCTGCAGTGGCCCACCCCCGGTATGCGTGCACGCAGCAGTGGAGGCAATCGCGCAGCTGCGGGGGTGGTGGCTGTGTTGGCGGGGAGGTGGTGGAGGTAGAGGGACCCCGTCTGCCGTGTGTACCGTGTATAGCAGATGCGTTATTATAATCATTCATTATGATAATGTGATATATATTATTATTATTATTATGTATAATATACGCGTGTGCTCGGTCGGTTCCATTTGTTGGATACGAAGAGCGTGACAGCAGCGGCGTAACAGGTACGACGCGCGTAAAAGTCGCCCGAAAGCGTTTCTCGGTGACGGCTGGCGGGACAGGGTGGGTGGAATGGAGCGGGTTGCGAGCGTACGGATTTATTATTGTTATTAAACCCGCTCGGTGACATGAAAAAAAAAAAAAAAAAATGGCGACAAAACGCTTCTACACCATACGCGCATTCACCGGGGGCCGTCCCGCGGAAATGATAAATGCGTGCTTACGCGAGCAGCGCTCCCCCCCCCCCCTGAAGACGTTCGCGCCCCTTCTCTATCACTCACCCACCTCCCCGGCGGGGCCGAGAAAGGGGTGTTTTTGATGTGTGTACTGCAGCACTGTGGGACGTTTTCGCCGAGTACTCGTCGTCGTCGTCGTCTGAGAGCGAGAGTGGCGACAAACTTACCTCCGTTACACGTCGAGCATCTACCCTGCAGTGGTGATTATGGCGTGGAGCAGGTGGGGGGGGGAGGGTTGAAAACATAATCAAAATATATAATGGTCGGGTTCATTATAATAATTGTACAACAATTGATCGCCAGTAATTGTTTGCGCGTACATAAAATATACGGCATCGGGTGAAAGGGACACATTTCTAAAACGGATAGAGAAAAATGTTTCAACACGTAAATAATTATAGATATAAATGTATTCTGCGATATCTTCGGAAACAAAATTAATGGCAGTCTCGGTTTCGTGTAAAATATGTGTTTATGGCGGCCATAAAAAGTCTTGAAACGGCAACGATTACAATGTCTTATTAATTGCCGAACAGTTAAATTTTCGTTTTTTTTTAAACCCGTTAGATTCGGAGTCGAACTCGAATAACCCGATTACAACGAGACACCATCAGTCACGGACAAATCTGGGCCTTGTATTGATAATTCGATTATTAAGTAATGCCGTCCGAGCGAAAACATTAATTATGATTTTATTCAGTGCGTCTCCGAGACGAATTTCCAAGATTCTCAAAGGGGTACGAGAATACCCGTTCACCGTACATTAGCGTTACATCCATTAAAAGATACAAAACTTAAACGTTTATTTTTAATACCTATACCTACTTATTATACGGTCTCTGCTGCTACTACTACTACAACAGTCACGTTCATAACTGGCCCGAAGACACTGGTACAGTAGAATTTATCGGAATTTATTTTACACCCGACACGTTAGCCGACTCGAGTGAGAAACGCGTGGATTTCAATTCAATATCAAACCCACTCGACGACCGCACGTGTATATTTCTTGTTTGGGCGCAACGTGCAAAGTCTCCGGGAAGTCGGACTCTTATCATCTCGTGACCTCCTCCTCGGATGCGCATTCCCCACGTCGTACTCCCGTGCCCTCGTGGTACTTGCGCGAATTAATCGTTAAATGGCGCACCGCAGCTGCAGGCATTCGAGTAATCCGATCCTCCGCCTTGCCCCCCCCCCCCGACCATCACCGCCGTTCTAAGAAAGGGTTAAGGGGTGGACGGGCGGGGAGGGCGACAATGCGGCGGCAACAGGTCTCGAAATGTATTAATATACGATAATTATAATATGTACCCGCTATATCGTGTATTACTGTGTGTAGGTATATAATATGTGCTGCAGGTTTGTTGCAGATTATAATATCATTGTACGATTTTGTCGTATTGCGCGTGCGTGGAATGAATTAGCGTCGAGGACTGTTACAGGACCGCGAATTCTGGGGCCGGCGAACAGACGATAATACAATATCATCGTCCCGATAAAACTGTTCCGACGGACCAGAGTTATTCGGACGAGATGGCCGTCCCGTCACTATTAATGCGACGGGTCGTCGGGCGATTGAATACAAATGGCGTATATTATCTGAGCGCGACGATTCGCAGCTCGATTATGTACCGTATGTATGCCTACCGGCGGATGTGGACGAGATTTCGTCGAAATCGGTCATTTGCTAGCTCACATCACCCCCGAAGTTTTCGTTTCAAGATTTACACGACTATTTCTTTACGAATATCGCATTTGAGAATCTCTTCTTGTATTTTACGGCATCTGCTTAGAAGAACACGTCATAATATTCGCACCTAAGCGCACCGTTTAGCGTGTGTTTTCTATACGATCAAAATCAGTGCCCGAATTTTTTTTTTTTTTTTTTTTTTTTGGGAGGGGGGTGCAGCTCTCCAACTAATTTTATGTCATGTCCAAAATAATTTTTAATAAAATGTGGATTTAAATAATTGTAGTCAATGATATACCTGGGTAGAGAATTTCGCGATTTATATTATAAACAATATTTTTGGTATTATCTTTTCTATGGTTTAGACTACCGCCTTATACTTTGCTATTTTTTTGTCATAGTTTGTTTACATTACCTTTATCACGTTTGCTATTTGACTAGCAGTGCAGTAGACAGCAGTACACAGATATGTACAATAAACTTTTGTATCATCATATTATACATTTAAATGCGTGAACTAGTGTTATTGACAATAGACATACGAACCACAAATTAAGACGGTATCATTGATAATTATTATTTTTTTTTATTTCCTACTGAAATATATAGGTATATCGCAGTAAAAATGAAAATTATGATAACATAAAAATAATGACTTTTTTAAATGACTGAATGTGTGAAATGTAATTGCGATTTCAAAAACTAAATCCATTTTCGCCTACAAGTTACATAGCTAGCCGACCCCCCCCCCCACGTCTGCGGTAAATAATATTGCACTCGGAACGCAGCTTTTGAACCGCGTTGGTTTCCGTTGCTCTACTTGATTTTTCTCGATGCGAATTTCGATCGTTGAACAATTATAGTACAACGTAACTGGAAAACAAGGGTAACAAATACCTAAATTATTGAAATTACGAAATACCGATAGGACGTTTTAACCGCATTAATGTCAATAACATTGTACATCGACCGGAATCCAAGTCAGACGTATCCGAGAGGGCAACTCGAATGTAGACAAAGTGATACCGTTCATCGTAGTTTATATATATTTGATGTGCTGGAATACAACGTTCATCGAATCAATCAATCAAGTTCTCTTCGCTTCCATTAGCCGGCTATATTACAATTGGTGTGCATTCGATATGAATAATCGCCGACACCGATGTTGACACAAAATGTTTGAATAGTATCTTATTTGAACTGATTACATAAGTAGTCCATAAGTACCTACCGCACGCGAAGTAAATAATTTTTTTCCAAGTTTCCTCGAACTGAATGTAACTGTAAACTGTGGTTAAATTACATAATATTAGAGTTTAAGACGTGATAGATATAACGCGAAATATACTTTTTTAGCATAATTGTAATCATTTTAAAGTATTATAAAAAATGGTTTATTTTTTTTTTTTTACAAAACATTAAACGTTTCTATTGCTCGTTTCGATATTGCCGACCTTATACATATTTATGGGAGTTTAAAAGATGAAATGTAATTTATTTTCCACTGAAATGTTTAATTTTTTTTTTTCCTTGTCAAATCGTTTGTGAAATCAGATAGTTTATATTCTTTTCATTTCCATTTGTTGTTTAATTCAATTATTTAAGACGTTAATTCGTTAAAATTTTCAAAATAACAGTCTGGTGAAAATTCAATTGAGAATATTGATTTTGCAAGCCTGCCGCGGTAAATAAATAAAGGAAACGAAACAGACAAATAAGAAGTAAGGAAAACCGAAAAAATTGGACCGGCTCCAGGCTATATAACTGTTTCGAAGTAAATACCGCGGTAGCCGAACGACACTATGTTCTTTGGTAGTGACTATTTCTATGAAGCACTATAAGGTTATTATTTTTTCTCATATATAATATGTATATATATATAGAACAGTCTCCTTTGATAATTGGGCTTTATGTAAATGCGCAAGAAATTTCTATTAAAACAGTTATTACAGTATAGATCAGCAGAGTACCAGAACATTTAAATTTCCAAGATCATTATATTATGTCGCTAATTTTATTATACTTCAAATACAAAACTATTATAGATAGACGAGTAAACCCGAATCAATAATACGTACCTATATAAATATTATAAAATTGTTTTCTGCTCGAAACGCTGGTCGAATGACATCGTACACTTAATATTTTCTACAGTCTCACAATTGTAGGTAATAAGTTCATAAATATGGATTGTAAAATACCGAGTGCTAGGAAAAAAGGGGGCCATTTTCGTCCCTAGCCATAAATTACCCTGGAAATTCGATCCTAGTGACTTTCCACAGATTCGCAAACGGCCGATCGGACAAAAACTTATTTTTTCGAGCACATAAATATTATACAGACAAAAGCTAGTCTGAGGGGTACAAAATGCTTTCGAAAAGTTTGTCCCCACGGACCTTTGAGTTTATCACGGCGTTCGATCGATTATCATGAACCCCGATGTTGAGGTTTTCTCTCTGCTTATTTGCAGGATGGCAAATTATTTGTTCA